CATCCATCCATCCATCCATCCCTCCATCCATCCATCCATCCATGCATCCCTCCATCCATCCATACATCCTTCCATCCATCCATGCATCCATCCATGCATCCATCCATACATCCCTCCATCCATCCGTCCAAGCCCTCAGGATAAGCATACCTACTCTGTACTAGGTGATTTATGCACCAAATCTCACAGAACTTCTGTTTACAACAATATTGACTCAACAGATAGTTGTCAAAGGCATTGTGTGAAAGACCTTCTGAGTTTGCTTTCTATTGCTGTGATGAAACACCATGCCCCAAAGCAAGTTGGGCATGAAAGGGTTTATTTGGCTTACACTTCCACATCACAGTACCCTGAGGGGGAGTCAGGACAGGAACCTGGAATCAGGGACTGAAGCAGAGGCCGTGGAGCAATGCTGTTCACTGGCTGGCTCTGCATCACTTGCTCAGCCTGCTTTGTGTACCACCCACCTGCCCAGGGTTGGCATCACCCCAGTGGGCTGCACTCTCTCTCACATCATTCATTCATTAAGAAAAGTCAGAGTTTCTGCCCTTGGGGAGTGTAGCCCCGCCGTTATCTACTGAGGTGGGGTGCAGGGGGCAGGACACACCCCTCACTGTTACTATCAGGATCCTATTGCGTCCTTCCTCCTTTCTCATCTTTCAACCCCGCCCACGTGGGCCTATGCATCAGGTGTGTTTTGCAAAGGCAGACCCCCTTCAAGATATGCATCCTTGTTGGGGGACAAGACACACAGATGACAGGATGCGAATGCTTGGCTCAAAGCTCAGGTTCCTTTTCTTGTGCCAACTGTCACCGTGTAAGAGGGTGCAGTGGCTGTGTGGGAGGTGTAGTGGGTAGCAGAGGTTGACTTCACCTGTTCAACCTTTAGCTCATGGAATCCCCTAGAGCCCACTCTTATCATAGGCAAGTGGAACTGCTTACCAGAGACCCCTCTGGCAAACTGAACCCTGGAGCTGTTTCCTCCAGCAGGTGTAGTCTCTGATGTATTCTCAGGTATCTGGGGTTTACTGGGTACCACTCTGTGCTCAGACCAGGAATGATGGATGATTGCAGCATGAAAAACCAAGCTGAACCCATGACCCCCGCTCCCAAGGGGAAATCACACACTAGACTAAGCAGTGGCTGGGGCTGGGGGTCCCAAGGAGTCACAAGAGCCATAGGCCGCTCATGGAACCTAGAGGAGCTAGAGGAAAGTGTAGCCTGGGCAGGGATCATGGAAGGCGCCCTTCAGGGTAGATCCCGTTTGGTTCTTTTTATGTTATTGCTGGGGGTAGAACCCAGGGTTCCACACTAGACAGATGTTCTGCTCACCCCAGCCCCTTAGGGTAGCTTTTTACAGGTGTGACTGCAGAGTTCCTGGCCCTGGAATGTCAGGGGACCCAGGCTGCTCGCTCAAAGTCTCCTTTTCCTTCCATGCTCTTCAGGAATTCACCGTCCCCCAGCTCTGTGGCCAGCAGCGACTCAGGAAGTACAGATGAGATCCAGGATGACCTGGAACGGGAGGCAGATGTGGAGCCCATGGTCAGCTGATAATGGAGGCCCCGTGCAACTGGTGGTCTTGGGAATGGGGCCCAGCCTCCTCTCCTCACCGAG